TTGTGGTGTCAGCCCTCCTCTCCTTCCATGTCTTTCTTCCCCCGTCATTCTCTCTCTCTGTGCATTTGTGTGCCACCTGTGCCCATCCTCAAAGCATGCCACGCTCACCCTTTGATTCAGATTGAGTTTCATTTCAGATGCAAGAAACAAAATGTACTGTATCTGTGCTTTATGCTTTTCCTATAGGGTCCTTCTACAGAACGTATGCCTTTTGTGTTCCAAAAAAAAGAAAAGAAATAGAAAAAAGAGAATTGATGCATAGTGCCAGCTTTTACTATGTGTTAATAAGATATATTCATGTTGAAACGTATTCACAAAAATCTAACTTTACTGAATTTTTTTTAATATATCAAGTTTTTTTAATCCCTCTTTGTGTCATGAATGCCATTTTCGCATTTTTCGCCTTTTTATTAATACTTTCTGTATAACATGCACATTTTGATCAAAACAAAATAGAATATATGATGAGTTTGGTTCCAAAACGCTATAAATCCATTTTGATTAATTTAAGTTAAAATGTGTTTTCTTTACCAAGAAAGTGGCAAGATGAAAACCACTATTTTCTGTTTCAAACTTTCACATAGCATCTTTAGGTTATAATAACATTAAAAATTCAAATCCAGATTTTGATTTTCAAAGATTTATTATAAAATTGCATAATTTTTTCCCCAAAATGCAATAAATCCATGACACGTTTTTTTTCCAAAATGCAATAAATCCATTGAATCAATATAAAAGGAATTTTTCATATTGAAACTGTTGAAAATACACAACATAGTAAGTTGATCCACATATGACAGCCTCTGGACTTGGTCAATACTAACCTTATATACAGGCGCTGGACTAAAAATACATTCAATCAGTCATCGCTCCCAAAATGAATTCAACGGGTCATCTTGTTAATGCTATAAATTAATTACAACAATAAAAGAAAATTTCATCATGAACATACATGAACAACAATATCATATTAAACCACAGAAATTCCAAAATGACATTTCCCTTACATTCAACTTCCAAAAGTGCATTCATCTTTGCCATGTTGCATTCATTTAGTTGACTAGTGCTATATGCTGTATTAACAAAATCATTAATGACATTAATAAAAACACTTACACTACTGACAAGCTACGCAATATCGCGTTCATAATCGAATG